TTGGCATATCTGACACACTCTTTCTTCTGGTTTGGTATATGGTCTTGTATATCTACCTATTTCAATTTATAAGCAATGATCACTTATTCTTAGTTTGGTCAGACTTATTCTGTGTTTAATATTAGTTACCTCTCTTAAGTATTCCTCTCGCTTATAATCTATTTTAAATGTTCTATATGTTCTTAATTTATTTTTCTGTGAATCTTTTCTTCCCGAATCTTTATGTATGTCTGCAAGCCATAAATTTGAAATTCTTGATCTTCAATTCTTTGTCTAATGCTTTTCATCAGCTTAGTTAATTGGTAGTCAGTCATTCTCTCACTTGTATTTTGCTGCCATAAATAGCTTAGACCTAACTTATCAAGGGCTAATTTTATTTTCTCTGTCCATCTCGAATTGTTCGAACTCTGTAAAAAACTATCAGCTATTGTCTGATCTGAGAGTTTTGATTTATCAGTATCAACACGATTCATGTATTTTGTCCAAAATTTGATTGCCCTTAATTTTGCGCAAACTCTTATTGGGAAGAGCCCTAATTCTGCTCGGCATGCGTTATTAGACGCTTTTTTACTTACTCCTAAAAGCATTTTACCAAATTTTATTTGCACTTTTTCTAGTGGATCTAGGTTTAGATTTTTCTTTGTTTCCACACCCCAGACCTCCCTACCATATAACAAGATTGGCTTGGTTAAGCTATTGAAAAGTCGTATTGTGAGATCTATATCAGATAAAAAAGGCTAAGACGTAATACAAATGTAGAATGGAATTACCAAAATTTAATTAAATTGTYTTCTCTAAGTCTTCTCTATTTTTAGTGCGTAAATAAATTGAATTGAATTGTAAGCACACAGAACTCGGCATAAAAATCTCCTTACATTATACAATTGCTGAGTTGCACTAGTGACCGGTAATTACGTCTCGTGAAGATTGTTCATCAGCTGAATCACAAGTTTTCAATAKWATTCTTTCTRGTTAACAGCACATGRTGGTCAGTGTTTGACCACCATTTGGAACAGATAATGAGATTCAAGAACTTTTATCAGTTGAGTGAAACCCAGCAATACTGATCTCACCTTTCATTCTGCTCAACAAATAACGGGCATCCTTGTAGGATATCCCTTGTACTTGGACCAACYCTTCTAGATTGGTTTCGTTGAAGGATACGCGCATCATTCCACAAGTAGAAGGTAGCAGTGGAGTGAAGTGATCGCCAAATCTGATATTTACAACTTGGGATATTGATGGAATTGCATCGGGTGGCATCCAAACAGTATTTGGATAGGTATCGTTAGGATTGTGCCCTTTAAATGCTACAAACGTGGGGACGTAATATTTAATGAAGCCAACCACTCCTTTACTTCTCATAAACTCCATCTTAAAAAAATGAAAGAATAAAAATTAAATACGATCACTCAGGCTAAAGGTTTTCACAAAGTTTTTTTACTTCGATACTTTGTAGTTACCACTATCCCGCCGCGATGCATTAGCTCATGTTTCGTAACAATGTCTTCACTCTCAACTCTTCTATTCTAAATTCAGTGCATATTGTACCTTTTAGTTTATCACCTGTTGTACCATTGTTATCTATCCACAATACGAGTGTTGTAATGTCAACCGCGTCTGCCTACTTATCCCACGYACCCCCTCCCACCTCCCCTCTCTCCCTCTCTCCTAACACCTATTTCGGTAATGAGAAGGGGAAAAAAACAATTTTGAAACACTTTTTTAACCATGACATATTGTCATTATATTGTAACAATTGTAATCGTAATC